GTCAGATAGCATCTGTTCATAAAACCGTTGCGACTCTAGCCGATCACATAGATAATTTAGAACATCCAAAACGAAATGTGAAATAATATTGCACGTACAGTCAGTACTGAACCATCGTCGTACGAGTATATCCGCGGTAAAATTATGTCTACTTCAGCAGCTGCAGGTATCGTAGATATTCAATGTGTATTGGGAATCAACAACCGATATTATGTTAAGGAACTTTCAATAATGGACGCGGATCTGGACTGTTGTGCTTCTCAACACTACATTGTAAAATCACCGTCTGAATATCAGAACGCCAGGTCGCGTTCAGTGAATAATTGGCTATTTCGTAATTATCACCAACTGTCACTGGAATGCGGCGACGTGGAATATACGGAACTCGGTCAGATTTTCGATTTACTGACATACTCGTGTATTTACGTGAAAGGCGAGCAGAAACAGAAAATTATTCAAAACTATTTACCGAACGTGGAAATTGTCGACCTTCAACAGCTCGGATGTCCACGCTTGAGTCAAATATGTGCCGATATCAGTCAAAAGCCTTCATCATTTCCGCCGCCGGTGGCGTGCTGTTTATATCATAAAAATTTAAACTATACTAAATGTACATATTATAGAATTTTCGTGTTGAAAAAATGGTTTTTAAATAATTCTTAAAATCGTTGTTATACATAATTTTTTCGTGAATAAATATAGTGTTATTCATACCACTACTGACAAACTCACAAAAAATGTGTTTATTTTATTATCATCATCAGATTATATATATATATATATATATTGTTACGTGCCACCGGCTCGATTTCAAGTGTTGCGAGTCGAAGATGTGTTTAATTTAAATAGACATGAGACTTTTAATACATTAATACATTTATTTTAATACTCAAAGTGTTTAACAAAATTCTAATACAAAGTGACGTGGAGTAGCTTGCTGTTCCGTGACTAGAACTCATCTGCCTTGTGGTCATTTTGATCCCTCTTTTATATGGATTGATTGACGTCATTGGTCTTGTTGTTTCGGCAATACTCAGCAATAGACCTTGCTCTTTTGACCTAATTCACTATTCTAGGAATACGGATTAACAGTTTATTATATCTTGTTATTTCGGCAATACTCAGTGATAAGCCTTGTCCGTCTGACCTACTTCATTATTCTAGGGATCAATTTTATTACATCTCTTAATATTCCTACTCGGTTTATGACCAATTAGTTAAATATAACGATGTGTAATACATATAATATTGTGATACGCACGATTTCTATTTATACGTGGTTCTAGGAATATGGTAGCCCATAACAATATGATGGTTATTTTCTAATCTTAATATTTCACTAGCAATATAATTAAATATATGTAAAAGACCCAGTAGATGTAACATAATCACACACACATGGGTACTATGTGCGGCCTGTCTGAACCTGCATATATAGAAATTTACCACAATCTAAAGAAGACAGACGTCCGAGAGTCCGATGAATCATATTCTTATCAGACACACATACACACATGGTGTTATTCACTACTGACAATGTAAAAATGTGTTTATTTTATTATTATTATCATATATATATATATATGATTACATGATGGTTATTTTTTAATCTTAATATTTCACTATATGTATAAGACCCATTAGATTTTACTTAATCATATACACCATGTGCGGCCGGTCTTGAGCTGTACATATACCAGAAATTATAGGTCTATCCTAGAGTCTGATTAATCAAGTGCTTATCATAGACATATATGGTGTTTAATCTTATATAGCGCGTACTTAACTATATATCGGCTGCTTACGAACTGAGTCCCAGTATAACCTTTTATGACGAATTGAGTCCCGGGTTGTTTTAGGGTATAAACCAATTGAGTCCAGTGAAATTATAGGTATAATACTAATTGAGTCCATGTTTTAATATTAACTGAGTCCCGTAAAATTAAAAAAAAAAAACATTTTCCTTCCCATTTTTACAGACTTAGGACTGTCTGTAACAAAAAATTCTACTTACTTAATATTACTTCATCCATGATTCTTGGCGTACCTCGTAAACTAGAGTGTTTAATATAATGAAAAAAATGTCCGGCCTAAATAATATGTATTATATTATGTTATCTGACGAATGTGATGATAAAAATGATATCGGTAGACGGTGATTATTATACAAGCGATGATAGAAATAAAATCTAAAATTCCCGACCCATAGTATGATATGTTACTATATTATCTGACGAAAGTCATAAAAATTATATGAATGATATGTATATATAGGTATATCCGTATGGAGCGGCTGTGCAGCATAATTTTAATTATTATTATTATTATTTTTATTATTATTATTATTATTATTATTATTATTATTATTATTATTATTTATTATTATTTTTATTATTATTCATAATTTTCGCTGTGCCTGGACTCTGGATGGTTATTTCATATTTTACTCAAAATAATCCTCGGACTCAATTCGTATACAATTAGTTTCCTAACCACGGACTCAATTAGTATATGTCTCGTTTGTACCCGGGACTCAATTAGTATATTATTTTTTCCCCGTTCAGGTATAGGGACTCAATTAGTATACAGTGTATATATCGATTTACGAATACGGGTCGTTATATCGCTTGCTGTTTCCCCCTCCCCCTCCTCCCATTAATATATGTATTTATCCCTAAAAGTGGAGTGGGTTTGTTATAATAACATACACACATCTAAGAGCATAAATATATATCATAGTTCGTTCAGTCGTTCAACTTCATCGCACGAAACCATAAGTCTACTACTACTACTACTCTTCGATCACTACCACTGCTGCTGCTGCTGCTGCTACTGAACATTAGTTTTTTTCATTTTCTACTCTCGCGGTTAACACATACAATATCTTTCTCAGTAAGTTTATTTACGTTTTACCTGTATATTTCTTTATAATATAATAAATATATTATATATAAATAAATATTCAAAACTTATAAAAATAAATAATTATATCTTTTCTTTTTCAGATTTTTGATTACATAATCAAGCTACTACATTTCAGACCGCAAATTACAAGCAGTTCTACTACTACTACTACTACTACTACTACTTCTTATTCGTCTTGTGATTCAATTTAACGCAGTCAATAGAGTAAGTTATATTATTATTTACGATAAAACATATATTATTTCTATAATAAATCCTATATAGTTCATTTCATTTATTGTTAAATATAAAAGTGTTTCATATTTTTTAAATTTAAAGTTATTATATGAACAATCTCCAAACTATAACTTCGAATGTTATATAAACTATAACTTCGAATGTTATATAAACTACAACTCTGATACAATAACATTAAGCGTTAATCATCGAAAGTTATTTACAATTAACTAAGCTTGATATATATAAGCTATCATTTATAGATTATATTTTTCACTTTGTTTCCATATATATATATATATAATATAATTTGTTGAAGAACTGATTTTTTTTTTTTTTTAAAAATCAATATTAATTAAATTTTATTTTTCTTAGTATGGATGCATTCAAGGCACGAATAATGGCAGATGCGGCTGTAGAAAAAATAAGCGTCGGAGATTTGACCATAGATCGTCCATACAATATACATCAACTCAAATGCATCACCACGCAGTACGGGGCATGTGTGGTAGCGCTGATGAAGGCCGTAGAAGAAGATTATAAAGTAGAGGTTTTTTTACCCAGAGCAATAATGGTCTCCGAAATCGAGGCCAAAAATTATAACGAGGGGGAAAAAAACCTAAATTTTATTTATTTAGGTAAAAATGGGCAAAGTTATAGATATAGATTTGTATAGAATTTTAATACCATAATAAAAATAAAAATATATTTATATATATATACAGAAAACAAAAAAAGTTATTAATTATTTTTATTAGTATTATTACTTGCTATATCCTATATCAGTATGTTTTAATAAAAGAAGTGTATTTATAATTATATATAAGTTTGTTCGTTATAGTAACATGTTATTTAAATATGTTACTCAGATAAATAGTTATCGTTTTCTGGAGAGAGAAAAAAAAAAAAAAAGATAATAATATAAATAATAAAATATTCAGTTAATTTTTAGGTAAAGAGTACAAGATTTTTTTCTAGGTAAATATATATATAAATATATTATATATATATATATTTATTCTATACAGAAAAATACATCAGCAAGAGTTATATACAAATAAATAAACTGTTTAAAATATATATATATACATATACAATCTATATGATAAAATAATAATAATAATGATAACTATATAAAAAAAAAAAAATAAAATAAAATAAAATAAAAATAAAAGTATAATATATTATTAAATTTTATAATGACCATGTGCTAGAGTATGCACACGGTCATTTAAAATATATCGTTTGTCATCCGATCTGTTCAATGTTTTTTTCATCGTCACAACAGTTTTAACTCGATGTTTGAACGATCGGATGCAAGCGTTTAACCTGTAAGACGTGTATGGTTTGTAGGATGGCAATGACGTTGAAGTTTCATGACCGTCGTTTGTAGAAGTTGTTGCTGTTGTTGTTGTTGTTGTTGTTGTACTCAGTCGACGGTGTATGCTATCTAAAACAGCTCGACTGCAACGCATTGCCACACGTTTTT